AGAAAAAGAAAAAGAAGGTAAGCCCAGAAATAAGGGAAAGCCAAGAAATATTGAGATCAGGGTAAGTTTAATTTTGAGATAGTAGAGCATACTGTGCTTTTTTTCATCTTGTTACTTATATTCAGTCTTTTGAGAAAATAGCCACAGACTTAGGTAATAGCAAGTCTGAAGGTAACTGAATTATTCCAGCCTGGGTTTTTAGGTATAGGAAAGCTTTGAATTGGAATTGGAAGTACTGCCTCCTATTTGATATGGCAAATCACATATTTTTCCGGAGCTTCATTTTCTTTATTTTTAGAATGAAGATAATAGTAACTGCCCCATCTATTGCAAACTTTCTTTTGGTGTGCATGAAATAAAATCAGTTTTTTTTTAAAGGAAGCCCTTTGTAAGTGTTAAAATGATGTAAAATACTATGATCACTACTTAAAATTTAGCATTATGCATATAGCACATTTCAGCTGAAAAACTAATGGTTTGTTTCTTTGTCTTGTTATACAAAGAATCTATCCAGTCTATATTTTTGAGGCTGTTACAGGCATATTACGGATGGAAAACATTAGGCTTAGAAACTCTTCTTAAAATCAGGGAGTAAGTGGTAGCAAAACCAAAATGTAAACTTAAGAACTCTTTCATCTTCGGCTTATTGAATTGTGCTACCTTTTGTGTACTGTGCTAGACTCTCAGATTATGCTGAGATAATTTAGGAAATAGAGAGGTTAATTGTTTAATTTACATAGGGGAGAAAAAAGACATTACAGAGTTGAGAAAATATGAATTGCTATGTTTTTGGAATGCATTAAAATCTAGCAGCAATCTGTTTTGCTTGCTGATTTTCTTTCTTCTCCATTTTTTCTTAACTTTTGCTTCTCAATCTTGTTTTCTCTCTGCATTCCCATCTTCCTCCTTTTCTGATTTTTGATAAGTAGGTATTGGTGTATGATACTAAAGTTTGTTCTTGTAGATTATTATAACAACTTCAAAAGATGTATATAAAGGTAAATTAAGTTGTAATGTTAATCATCTTTGGTTCATATGACACCAAATACTTAAGGATATATCTCAGTGAGCATGGAGAAAGAACATTGATCATTTATAGATTTACACTATTATTGCTCTTCCCAACTTTTGTTTCAAAAAAGGAAAAATTTTGCTAGAAAATGATTTCTTATATTCTTTGACTAGAGTAACTGTTAGCTGATATTCCCTCTGGGCAATAAACTTTTCTTATTTTTGTACAATAAAATGATCAGAAAACTGTCTTCAATGCTGGAAGTAATTTTGGATTAAATGACCTCTAGGGATCTAAAAGAGGTATTGATGGATTAGTTATATACCTTTAATGTTAATTGGAAAGTACTGATGCTTTTGAAAAGTTAACTAAAAAAACTACCCTTTAATTTTCTCTAAAATTTTTGTTTCTAATTCAGATTAATTTATCACCTATTTTTGAAACACTACATTTTGTGGGTTGTACATGTAATGTATCTTATACACAGAGATACACAAATACTTATGCACACATATAAATGTGATATGGTCTTAATATCAAGATTTTGAGGTTCACATTATTTTCATTTCTTTGTACATGGTAGTTCATATAGCCTGTTATGCAGATTTATTCATCTGTAGAATAACTGCTATTTCCTAAAATATAGCAGATAATAAATAATAAAAAACTGTCAGAAAATAGCTTGGGGTGGTATGGTGTGAATTATAGATAGCAACATC